TACTGGAAATAGCATTTGATTCGCTCTTCTCTTACAGACAAATAGAGATAACAATTACCAGGAAGTGGTGACGAGTCCGCCCAACCATCCCAACCAATCATCAATAAATACATTTAAACTTTTAATATATATTTTAAACTTTGAATTCTTTACAAATCACTGATAAAGACATTACCTTAAACTTCAAACTAAGCCAACAAAATACACATTCATTTCAATAATAAGTGTAAAGAAGTAGAGAAATGAAATTTTCAATATTATTGGTGTTTGTATTAAGCATTCAAATTACTCTTATTGTCGTCTCTGACGCTAAGAGACTTCAAAAGAGATGGACCGAAGATGATCAATGGCCACAGATGGCCCACAGGTAACCATTAATTCATTTAAAAATTTTTAATTGATATAAACATTTTAATAGACTATAATCGATAATGTGTTACGCTATAAAAGCATAAAGCGTTTATTAAATAATATTTTTACATTTTTAAATATATATATTTACAAAAAAAATATTAATTAAAAAATATAAAAACAAATAGTTTTGCAACAATGGGTGAAGACATGATGAAAAGGACAAATTCGATGAGAGATTGGATTCTAAACCAGCAAAAGAGTGTTTTATCAAACTTTAGGCCAATTATGGATTTGTCTGAAAGTTTTGAAAACAAGAATTCACAAGAATTTGATCCGTCAGTTGTGATCGTAGATAAAGGAGAACAAGAACACGAAGAAGTTCCCAATCCTTTCAAAAGTGAATTTCCATTTCAAATTGGTTTCCAAAGACCCAACTACTGGTCATTCGGTGATATGTTCGCCGCACCCAAGCCCTGGTGGAAGGGGTATGTTATCAATCATTTCAATTGAGATTTATACTAATTTTATGTAAAATATCTCATATTTATTATAATTCTTAAAATGATTTATTCATCGATTTATATACATTTTGTTTGTATTTAAACTTTTCTGACGCCTTCTTAATAGCCTTAGGGCACGGAATAACAGCTTTTAGGAAAATACTAAACAAACGGAGGAATGAGTTGTTATTTTATATTCAAGTTAATAGTTTAGGGTAGGACTAGAATACGGGACATGTCTAATATTAATATGTATGAATCATACATACATATGATATAACCGTCTAGAACTATACATGTTTTGTAACCAGTCTTAAGGTTACCCAAAGAATCAACAAAATCATCTTAAATGCAAAAAACACTGAATCAATGCTATTGTATTAATAGATCCCATAAATTGAGTGCAAACGCCCGCAAACCGTCTCTAAACTCATTCAAACAATAAAAGCTATTTTGTTTTTTTCTATCAATTATTACATAACAAATAGGCAGCAATTCATTTCAATTCAATTCAATTTATTTGTTTGTCGTTCACATCCGCCTTCAAAGGTTCACAAATCGTATGAACTTTTCATCGCTAAATAATCGTAACATAACTTTAGAGTAGATTTAAATAATTTGTGGCAATTTTGAATATTTCATGTGACAGAAAATTATTTTAATTTACAATTAAATTCCAAAATACAGTCCAAATGTTTGCACCGAAAGAAAAGTAATTGAAGGCAAAGACACGACAAATAAAGATAAAAACGGGACGAGTGTTGAGATTAAGGATAAGCAAGTATCCATGAATATGCGCTTCCAATCAACATTTGGACAGGCACATTCACATTCATTTCAACACTTTATGACATTACAATCAACTCATTGCTCGGAATCTGAGACATCCTATACTTGTGTTTCATCGTAAGTATTACCATAATCACAATACAGTATATTGTACTCAACATATCTTATAAATTATTAAAAGTATCGCAAATTTTTCGATAACTGAAAAATTGATTCTTATAATTGAATCCAAGTGTTAATTTAAAATAATGTATGAAAATATGAATCAAAATATGACAGTATAATTGAAATTCAGTTTAAGACACGTAATGTTATCCTAACACTGTATAAGTTGGTAGAAATTTAAGACATACAGTAAGAATGAAATTTTAATTAGACACAATGTTCAATTAAAAACAAATTTTAAATAAATTCAATGTATAATATACACTGTATATTATACAGTATTATGATACGTTATAAAATGTTACTATAAAATTAAAATATGTTATTAATTACCAAAAGAATAATAAAAGGAAATGAAAACAAGACAACGATTACTAAACACCAATGTTGTCACGGATTCAGAAGAGACGGCAACAGTGCCTGCACTCAAGGTTTGCAAGAATTTGATTCATAGAGAGATCACATTTTTATTTTATATAATATTTCAGTTGATTTAAAAGATTTGGTGCAAACGATGAAAGATTTAAAATCCAATCGAATGATGAATTTAATTGAAAGATTAGGTTTCTATGAAAAGTTAGTCAAAGACAATATCACTGTCTTTGGTCTGACCGATGAGTCCCTCATTGAATATGAAGACAATAACAACAAAATTGAGGTAAAATTAGATAAAATAAATTCTTATAATTCAATAAAATATGGCCAAACTTTGCAGAATGAAGTGGACCTACAGGCGCAGGAAGTGATTCAATTTCCATCGGCGGTCCGTAAACGACGAGAACTGGACAATAATTTAATGAAAGACGTGATTGGCATGCATTTGATCCATGGGTTTGTAACCTCTGGCGATTTCGAAGACGAAACAATGGTCTCTACATTGAGTCCATTAAAGATAAGAATTAATGTCTACAATAACCCGAAGCGTGTGGTCACAGCCAACTGTGCGCCCATCATATCAACCAATAATTATGCCGTCAATGGAGTCGTTCACCTCATGGACAGAGTTATGCAGAATCCGAACCAAACGGTTGCGGAAATGATTGAAAGTGATAACCGCTTTACGATTCTTAGACGCCGTGAGTTGTAATTGAATTTTTATAAACTTTACCTAAATTTTAATTCTTATCATATTATACTATAAAAACAGTCTTAGCCAACACTGACTTAATGAACAAATTGCGAGATAATAGCCAACACATGACTGTGTTTGCACCGACTGATAGTGCTTTTTCACGACTCGACAAACTATATTTAGAGCGCCTATACAAAGGACAGTCATGTGTGGAACCGCTGCTTAACAATCATATAATAGGGAACACAATCTGCTCGTCTGCAGTACAAGAATACGCTTCCGTTATGAATGCAATCAATGTTATGCTTCCCATCAAAAGGATTGATGAAAAGCTAGAAATCAATGGCATTCGTATCGTTGAAAGCGATAAATTGGGAACAAATGGTGTGATTCATGTGATCGATGGAGTGATGTTCTCTGAGAAGTCACAACCCATTTCGAAATTCATAGAAAAACATCAAATGACAGAATTTCTAGATTTGGTTAAAGACTCCGGACTTTTAGATGAATGGGATCTCCTCACGAATGTCTCATTCTTCATCCCTTCCGGGTATTCCATTCGAAATCTGCCCCAAAATACAGTTCAAGAAATCAAAAATAAAACTAAAGAAATGTTTGGCTATCATGTGGGCAGACCTATAAGCAATACATACGAGTGGAATAACAATCAAATGTTAAATACAATGATAGACAACAAAATCAGAATTAATACCTTTGAAGACTTGTCTGGGTTTGGGGTTATAAGACCGGTCACCACAACAGCCCAATGCGCTAAAGTCATTGTTCCCAATGAACAGATCTGCGGCGCAAACATCCATATCGTCGACCGATTCATTCAGCCATCGAAAGGAAATTTAATTCAAACTCTCGATTCGGCTCCAAATCTGTCAGTTTTCCGACAAATCATTAAAAACAGTGGCATTGAATCAACTCTAACGGAGGGCACCTATACTCTGTTGGCAGTGAATGACCAAACATTACACAATGAATTCTCGGACAACGATATAAAATCATTGGTCAGCAATCAGACGGAATCGAAAATATTTATTCAAAACCATTTATTGCCAGAAATAATCTGTTGCTCAGGTATTAAAAACAATTTTATGCCTTTTTGTGATTTTAAATGTTTTATTAAATTTGTCTAAAGGAGTCAACACTTCGCCTCTTTTCTTGAGTTCACAACAATTCCAGAATATGGAGGGACTTCTGGTTCCGGCCCACAAATCATTCAATGGAAGGGTTAGGTTCGGTAACTCTGGTGTCAGTAAATGTGATATAATGGCAGACAATGCAGTCATTCATATAGTGAACAGACCGTTGGTGACTAAACCTTCAATAGTGCCGGACTTGTCGTTTCCCTTTCAATTCATTTTCTAAATCTATTATCAATTCTTTCTTTTTGTGATTTTATTATTTATACAAAAAATTCTCATAAGTTATTACAAAAATGGATAATTAATGACAAAATGATTATTAAATTAAAGTCAGTTTTATTTATACGTAACGTGCCTTTCAAGGCACTGATGTAGCACTTAACTCATCGATGTTAATATGAGTGATAAATCTGAGCCTCTTTTGTAAGTTTGGTCTCAAATTCTTGATACTTCTCTCGACTTCGTGTTTGACTGTATCGCCGGTAAACATATCTGTTATTCAATTAAAATATATAATTATTTTGAATAAAAGTTGAATAAAATAGTTATCAATAAATGTGTCATACATTTGATGTGATAAAGAAGATCACAGACGGGATCAATGAATTCTAGTTTCTCGCAACTCTTGTCAATGATTTCTAGCATTTCATACAATTCAATCGTCACATCCATTACACAACGAGTTCTCTCAGCATAAAAGCGCTGTAGAAATGGTCCGACGATATGACA